TGGGGTGACACCATTGCTGGTGGATGGCTGTGTGGGGTGGGGTGGCACCATTGCTGGTGGATGGCTATGTGTGGTGGGGTGACATCGTTGCTGGTGGACGGCTGTGGAGGTTGGGGGTGACACCATTGCTGGTGGACGGCTGTGGAGGTGGGGGTGACACTGTTGCTGGTGGATGGCTGTGTGGAGTGGGGTGACACCGTTGCTGGTGGATGGCTATGTGGGATGGGGTGACATCATTGCTGGTGGACAGCTGTGGGGGATAGGGTGACACCGTTGCTGGTGGATGGCTGTGGGGTGGGGCGATATCATTGCTGGTGGACGGCTGTGGGGGATAGGGTGGTACCGTTGCTGGTGGACTGCTGTGGGGGTGGGTGGCGTAGCACTGTTGCTGTGGCAGTCCTGGCTCCACACATCATTGTTACCAGCACCATGGGAGGGGTGTCTGCATCTCCAGTGGGGGCTGGGGAGAGTCCTGACCCTCCCGCATGGGTGGGAGGGGCCTTGTTGCTGCCGCTGGGGGTGGACGTCAGTCTCCCCACATGTTCCCCCATGGCCTTCTCTGAGACCCCAGAGGAGGGGTGTTTGGAGTAGAGCAGTTACCACAGGTTTTTGACATGTTCGTTTAATTCATTTAAAAATAACAGTGCAGTTGGCCCTTTGAACAACACTGGTTTGAATGGCATGCGTCCACTTAACGTGGATGTTTCAGCCAAATGCAGATAGGAAGTGTGGTGTTCGCAGGATGGGAAGCGGGCCTTTGTGGGATGGAAAGCGGGCATTTGCAGGGTGGAAAGTGGGCCTTCCCGGTATGGAAAGTGGGCATGCGTTCGTGGGATGGGAAGTAGTGGGCCTTTGGGGGATGGAAAGCGGGCCTTTGTGGGATGGGAAGCGGGCGTGTGTTCGCAGGATGGAAACCGGGCGTGCGTTCGTGGGATGGAAAGCAGGCCTTTGCGGGATGGGAAGCGCTTGTTTGCAGACGGCCGTCAAGAATGGAGTTTGACAAGGCTAGAGAAGTCCTGAATTCCAGATAGCTCAGATCAGCATTTTTAGATTTCTGGGCAAAAAATCTTCTCTTCATTAGGAACTAGACTAATACAGTTGTGTCTTTATAGTTTTGTGACTTTGATTTAGGGCCTGTTTCCTTCACCATGATGGGTTTTATCCCCTCATCCTCGTGTCTGTCCCTAGCAAGCTGGTGTCTGGGACGCACGCTTAGTGACTCCTGGTCTCATGCTCCAGTCGTCCAGCGAAGAACCGGCTGCTAGAAACAGCTGCCTCTCAGGAGGGCAGTATCAGCCATTTTCCCAGAAGCTTGCCTTAAATTCCAGCAGTTAAAGGCAGGCATCAGAATATATTCATAAGATTGACACATCCAGAGCAAGACAGATGTTTACAGAGGAGAGAAGCCATTTCAAATGGAGTTGTGGTTTTCACACAGCAGAAAAATGGGTGTGACCATAGCATCCTTGAAACAGAAGATTGGCCCATGCTCACTGATTTATTACATTAACATTTAATACTTTAGTAAAACAAGCACAAGAATTACCCTTTCTTGTTTTTTGTGTGTGCGACATGAGTTGTTTTTTTGTTTTTTTGTTTTTTTTTTTTTTGAGACGGAGTTTCGCTCTTGTTACCCAGGCTGGAGTGCAATGGCGCGATCTCGGCTCACCGTAACCTCCGCCTCCTGGGCTCAAGCAATTCTCCTGCTTCAGCATCCTGAGTAGCTGGGATTGCAGGCGCCCACCACCACATCCAGCTAATTTTTTGTATTTTTGGTAGAGATGGGGCTTTACTATGTTGGCCAGGCTGGTCTCAAACTCCTCACCTCACGTAATCCACCTGCTTACCTCGGCCTCCCAAAGTGCTGGGATTACAAGTGTGACCCTCCACACCAACCTGTGAAATGATTTTAATTTCAGCCACTGACGTCTGTTTTGTCACTTCACCATTTTTTGTCTTTCCGTAGCCTGGAGATGTTGCGTTTTCTTGTTTTGTTTTTTGTCGTGTTGCTCTCCAGACCCTGTTTTGAGGGTGAATTATGTGTCCTGGTGGTTCCCAGAACACTGTTCATCTCCCGTCCCATTTTCCCCTTTCTTCTGAGATGCTAGAGCCTGGCAGATGTCTGCACCACGGGGATTTTGTTGATAAAAGAAGGTGTACGCTATTTTTTGACAGGATAGTCACAAACGTGTTTTGCCACTCAACCTGGCTCAGTTAGCAAAGTCTGATCTGTTAAACTCTGAAAAGCGTATTGGCGAAGCATCATGTGTTTCATAAGTATTCCCTGTTGGGATGTGTGAGTGTTTATCTGAGAGTTAGGAATCTAATTCAGTTCTGAAAGGTGCAATTCAAGCTGACCTTCCTCATGTGGGGCCTATAAAATTCCTTTCAGAGCGGTCCCGACACCTCAGCCGCAGATGTTTGATGAAGAGCTGCCTGATGCTCAGGACGGAGAGCAGCCTGGCCCTTCTAGAAGAAAGCGACAACCCAGTATGTCTGAGACAATGCCGCTGTACACTCTTTGTAAGGAGGATTTAGAGAGTATGGACAAAGAGGTGAGCCAACAACGCGCTCCAGTGCCCACACCGGTGCTTGTGCTGGGGCCACAGAGCAGCGGTGAGCGGGTGGATCACTGAGCTGCGCAAGTGGAGGCAGAACTAGAATTCTGCACTCGCGCAGTCGGGTCTGGTTTGGGACTACCGCTTGTGTTTTTAGTGAAACTTCCTATTCAAGGAGACCTAGAACAGCATAAGTAATGTTACCAGCAGCATGTGGCATGAGAGCACGTCGGGGGCGTGGTTTAGGATTCGCCTGTGTCCCCACCAGGACCAACGCTGCCCGACCCTCCTGCTCTCCTGGCCTGCCCCAAGGACGTAGGACAGCGTCTGGAAGCGCACGTGGTCGTGTCCAGGGGTGATGCTGGTGCTGGTCAGCACCCCCCACCCAGCGCCGACAGGCCCCTGTTGAGAAGCCCTGGACAGCTGTGCTTCCATTGCATGTGGGCGTTGAACACACGCACACAGTGTGACTGATTCTCACAGCGTCTTGCGTGACCGTGACTTTCACAGCTTCTCGTGTGACCGTGACTCTCACAGCTTCTCGTGTGACCGTGACTCTCACAGCGCCTCGTGTGACCGTGACTCTCACAGCACCTCATGTGACTGGTGATTCTCTTGTGACCGTGACTCTTACAGCATCTCCTGTGACCGTGATTCGCAGCGTCTCGTGTGACTGATTCTCACACATCTCATGTGACCGTGACTCTCACAGCGCCTCGTGTGACCGTGACTCTCACAGCTTCTCGTGTGACCGTGACTCTCACAGCACCTCGTGTGACCGTGACTCTCACAGCGCCTCGTGTGACCGTGATTCTCACAGCATTTTCTGTGACCGTGATTCGCAGCGTCTCGTGTGACTGATTCTCACACATCTCGTGTGACCGTGACTCTCACAGCGTCTCGTGTGACCGTGACTCTCACAGCGTCTCGTGTGACCGTGACTCTCACAGCTTCTCGTGTGACCGTGACTCTCACAGTGTCTCGTGTGACTGGTGATTCTCACAGCTTCTCGTGTGACTGGTGATTCTCTTGTGACTGTGATTCTCACACATCTCGTGTGACCGTGACTCTCACAGCGTCTCGTGTGACCGTGACTCTCTCAGCGTCTGGTGTGACTGGTGATTCTCGCAGCGTCTCTTGTGACTGATTCTCACAGTATCTCGTGTGACTGTGACTCTCGCAGTGTCTCTTGTGACTCTGACTCTCGCAGCGTCTCGTGTGACTGATTCTCACACATCTCGTGTGATTGTGACTCTCACAGCATCTCGTGTGACTGTGATGCTCACAGGATCTCATTATCATGGCACTAAAGAGCTTTAGGCAGCACTGGTAAAGTTGGGGTTTGCTCAGCCAGGTCATGTTTGGCTCCTGTGTCCTGGGCCCCTTGGCCCGTGTGCTGCTTCTCGTGGGTCCCAGGCCACCCCCTTGATAGAAGGTTCCACACCTGTCGGGGTGCTACAGGCGAGCAGTCTGCATAGCACAGTCCTTCAGAGACTGTTCTTTAGAAGGACCCTCATGGAAAAACGCATCCCGTGTCCTCCAGGAAGGTGCCTTAATGGGCGGCGCCTATGTGGGTCTCACCCGCAGCCGGCTGGGGCTCCCGTGTGGGTCTCCTGCAGCTGGTTGGGGCACAGGCCACCCCCTTCCAAGGTCTTCTTCTCCAGAGCCCGTCCTCTGTGCCCATGTGGCATCGCTGTCCTGTGGAAAGAGCCGCTGTTCTGTTTGCATCGAGAAGGTAGCAAAGGTTTCTTGAGGAGGAAAACAGCTCCTGTTTATTTTCAGCAGTAGCAGAAAAATGCAGATGGTTGTATTTAGGACAGAATCATGTCAGTAACTCAGGTCATCACCTTTAGACATCAGTGTATCTTGTGAAGGTCAAACCCATTTTTCAGGTTTGCTGATTTCTCTGCCATTTTTCTGCCATTTTGAACATTAACTGTTTTTTTTTTTTTTTTTTTCCATGAAAATGTTTTCTTTTAAAAAAAATCTTTGTCAACCACTACTCATAAGCCCAGACCACTTTATTTGACATGCCAGAAGTTTCCATATAAGGAATCACCACCTGACTAGGACCAGGGGCTGGAGGAGAGGAGGGAGTGGACGCTAGCCTCTTCCCGCCTGGAAGCTCCTGACACGTCACATCTTCCTCTTGGTTTCCTGGTCAAGCGTGGAAGACTCTGGGTCTGTTCCCCACACAGTCCCGTTTGTCAGGCAGTGGTGACAACCTTGGTTCTTATTCATTTGATATTAAAAGGGGTTGAAATCTCAGTGGGAGACAGAAGTCTTCAATGCAGTCAGCAGCTTTCCTCCACCCAAAAACCTAATTCTCTCAGAAATAAAAAGTGACCTTCAACCCCAGATGTGGCCCTTCAGGAGCAAATGGTATCGAAAGTGGAAGTCTGCAGCCGTGGATTGCTCTGTGCATGGGAGAGAGGCCAGAGGGTTTCACATTTGTGAATAGTTAAAGCCTGCTTGATCCTCCGTGAGTCCTGGGCCCACAGGAGAGCCAGCCGTCCCCCGTGGAATTGTCCGTGAGTCCCGGGCCCACAGGAGAATCAGCCGTCCCCCTTGGGATTCTCTGTGAGTCCTGGGCCCACAGGAGAATCAGCTGTCCCCCGTGGGATTGTCCGTGTGTCCTGGGCCCACAAGACAGCGCCTGCTGTTGGAGCACTGACAGCCGGGGCCCTCTGCTCCTTCCTGGGGGCTGCAGCAGGGGCTGCGAGGTGGTGCGGGAGACACCGAGTACACATCCTGCCTTACGGAGGAGACTGTGGAGAAGAGGTGAACAGTGTCCCAGCCCTAGGGGTTTGCGGCACCTGCACACATCCTGGGACCCCCGGGACCTCTAAGAACGGAGCCGTGGACTGTCCTGCAGGTGCACGTTGGTGAGCAGTGCTGTGGCACCTCTTTCCAGCCTCTATTGTGTCCCCGTGCCTTCGTCCCTAGCTCTTTGCCGAGGCCCACGCAGTCCAAGTGGCCTTGTCTCACCTGACTCCCTGTGCCGTGTGTGGACATACGGCCACGTGCACAAGACCAGGGGTGCCTGTTTAACACACAGCACACAGCCTACAGAAATCTGGAGCTTTCTTACTTCCTTTTCCCAGAGAAAACATACATATATACATGTGCATACCTACAGTACCTGCCCTTTGTCATTTGAGGCATTTGAAAGGTTAGAAGGGCTCTACTTTAGGAAAAAAAAATTCAGTCTGTCTTTTCTATCAGATGGTGACTTTATATTTTAATGTTAATGCATTCTAACCATTTTAATATTTTCTCCTTTAATATGTCTAAAGTTTCAGAGTAGCAAAAGTATTTGATTTCTATTCCAGCCCTTCCCCAGCCTCCATGAAATGTATCCTGTGTTTATAAATTTTTTTAGCACTAGGCTGACCCAGATGGATACTTTATCTAGGTTTCCTCCAGCAGGCAAGTGGAAAATAGGCTTCCTGGTTGCTTGCTGTTACTTCTGTGTTAGTTCGAAATATTCCAAAAATTGTACTTCATAGGGCGCAGCACAGTGGGTTTCCCAGCGCAGGGTCCAGGCAGCTGCCGGGATGCTCCCTCCCACTTTCCAGGACAGCCTTGAATGTACAGCACGGAAGATTTCTTCAAGTCCCTGCCAAAGCTTCCAGGGAGTTGCTCCCACCGTAAGGAAGAGCCAGGCATGCAGCGCACTGCCCGCCATGAGCTGCCCTGGCCATGGGGCTCGTCTGTAGCAGCCTCCTGTCCCCATAGCCCCTTCTGGTCCTTCTTGCTGTTGTGGGCTCCCACAGTTGCCCAGGTCCCATCCCATTTGCTCAGGAAGGAAAGGGGGGACTTGGAGGTCAGCCATCCCTTCCTGCGTGGTTCCTCCCTCACTGCAGGGGCCAGGGTATTGCCCCACACCCCTTCCTCTCATCCCCATCCACTCCTAGCCCCGCCCCTCCCAGTGTGTCCCAGGAGGGCAGGTGCTGACGCTGGACCTTCTAAGCATAGTCCTTGGCACTGTCCTTGGCTCGGAGCCACCAGTCACTCCTCATTGGCTGGAAGACAAGTTAGAGATGGTGGTAGGCAAGCCGTGGCACCTGAAGGCATCTTCTCCTCCTGGGGCCTGTCAGTGCTGCCTTCGTACCAAATAACTTTGCACGAGAGATGAAATTTGGGACTTTGAGAGGAGATCGTCCTGGAATGTGCTGGTGACCACTGAGATCACAGAATCCTGAAGGAGGGAGGAGGGACGCAGGAGAGGGGTCAGAGGAGGCCCAGAGCTGAGGACATGGGGCCTCTAGAAGCTGGAAAATGCAAGGAAGGGACTCTCCCCATGGACACCTGGATTTTGGTCCTGTGAGACTCACATTGAACTTCTGACCTGCACAGCTGTGAAGTCATGAATTTGGATCATTTGAGCCATGACGCACGGTGATTACAGCAGCCTCAGGAATCTCCTTGTGTCCTGGCCCTGGTGCGACAGCCTCATCTCATGCCTGTCCCCCTTACACTCCCTGTGCTGGGGCAGATGAGGCAGCTGCACCCCAGATATGCCTGTCTCTCGGGCTCGCTGCCTGCACCTGCCATGGGCCTGCGAGACGGACCTTGTGCTGCCGCATGGTGTTCCCTGGAGGCTGCCGTGGCCTCCATTCATCCTGGGACACGCAGGGCGGGGGCTGCTGCTCCTTTCGGGATGCAGACGATGGGGAGTTGAGAGGATCTGGAAGCAGGGTCAAGTGCAGCCTATGGGGGGGGCCGTTGAGCGAGGGATGTTCAGACCTCCGGTCATTTCTGGCGTATCAGTGAAACCCAGAAACTGGTTGAAGGCAACGTGTGAAGAGTTTCAAGCTGTCTCAAAAAGTTAAAACTTCACAGATACTTACTGCTCATAAAATATGCATGACATGTGCCTGGACTTACAGCCTCAGTACCTTCTAGCCTGGAGTGAGCTCTTGCCTAGCGTCCAAACTGTTTCTCTGCAGTTGGCACCCGTCATCCCAGCGTGGGGCTCTGTGCTCCTCTCTGACACCCAAAACAGCTCCCACCCGTTCTTCAAGGCCCCACTCAGCTGCTACCTTTCCATAGATCTGCTCTGACCGCCCTCCTACACCCAGAGAAAGGAAGCAAAAGGTGGTGGACACAAACAAGGAACATGGACGGCCGCCACACTGTCTCTGCCCACAGTTGCAGCCATGCACGTTTTTAAGCAAATTTGGGGAGTTTTCAGCCATGATGTCTTCAAGTATTTTTTCAAGGCCAGTCTCTTTCTCCTCCTCTTCAGGAATCCATGACATGAATGTTGAACTTCCGGTGCTGTGCAGAGGCCCTTGAGATGCCAGTCCTTCTCTTGCTGTGCTTCTGAGACCGTTTCTGTGACTCCACTCCTAATAGCTGTGGCGTCTCGGAGCCTAACATGTTAGTGATGCTGCTTTTATTGAATTGGACATTTGTTCAGAAAGCTCTGGGCACCTGCTACTATGGTAGGCCTTCTCCCAAACTAATGATAGACTGCAAAGTTAATGGTAGATTAGATTCCAGGAAACTAAAGGGCCAGAACCCTCCATGGCTGTGTACAGTAGACAAATCTGAAGATTCACTTAAAATACACACAATACACATAAATCTGATGTGTGGGAACTTTGCTGTCACTGAACAGCAGTAATTTTTCCCGTTATGTTTGATTTGTAGTTTTTAACCAAACTGTGACTTGATCTTTTAAAATTTTCTGATTAATCAACATCCTTTAAGAATGAGTTTGTTTTGTACATTGTATTATCCAATCAGTAGAAGTTGTTTATGATAATTGATGGGGAAAAAGAACTAGTAACAACCATGTCTAAAGATTAGATCATTAGATCATTCTTCACATGGTCAGAACTTCAGGTGTGTAGACTGGGATTTGATTTTTCTTTCATTAAGTTGGTAACTTTAGAAAGAATGCTTCTCTGTCTTTGGGCTCCAAATATTTCCTGAAAGTTATGGTTCCTGAAATGTTAGTGAATTAAAGTCTCACCGTAGGTGTAATTGAATAGATAAGAAATTATCTTTTGTTTTATAAAAGACTTGTCACAGTCTTCCTCTAAGTAGAAAAGCTTTCTCTGTGGGTTTTGGAGTGTGTAATTTGCATAAGTCATTTTGGAACACATGCTGGCTGCAGCCACGTCTCTAGTGAAGGACTCTGGGTCCCGCCATTGAAGCTTGGCAAGTTCTGAATGCCCTGAGTTTGTTTTCCAAGCTTTGGGGTTTTCTTTACATGTCATTAAAGTTCCTCTTTAGTTGAAGTCTTCTTTTCATTAAAACATCTTTCCAGTTGGTATTAATTCACTTGAAAATGTATTCCATATTACAGTTTTTCTCTGTGAGTTCTCTGCCGCATCACAAATCACCGCACATCTCCCTAAAAGCTGCCCCCGCTTCTTGTCATCTCCACCACTGGGACTCAGGGCTCAGGCCGTGCTCAGGGCCATCCTTCCTGCTCCTTGCAGGAGCTCAGGGTTATCCTCCAGTGCTCAGATTGCAGACTGTTCCTGCACCCAGGCCCTCAGCTCCCAGAGGCAGCCCACAGGAGATCTTCCCCGCAGTCGGCACGGCCGAAGCTGTGTGGCGGGACCTCTTCCCGAGAGCAGCATCCCCAGCTGGGCTGGGCCCTGTGGGTTGCCAGGAGTCACAGGCCCCTCCTGTGCTCACAGTGTTGGGAGCTCAGGCTCCAACCCAGGTGTCCGTCATGAGCGGTGTCCACGGGCGCCTCTCTGAGCTGTTCCAGCGATGCTCTTCGTGCAAAGTATGCCAGGTCCCACACCAGGCGCAGGCATTTCCCTGCCACCCAGGGCAAGTATCTGCCCTGGGTTTGGAGACATGCAGGAGCCATCAGGAGCCATGGTCGGCTGCACAGCCATGGGCAGCGTTGCCATCTGTTCTTTGTTCGCCATGTCTGGAAAACGCCATTGAAGAAAGTTAACTTTAATGGTCTCTAAGTGCTTTTAGTTTTATTGGCAGAGAATATAGCACATCTGAGAGGAGGCCTGGGATGTTTGTCCTTTTGGACGGGAGAGAAGTCCGTTGATGTCAGGCAGCAGGATTTACGGTTTAATAGAGGTTTGTTCCTTGAGACTAGAGCTGATTAGGGTGCCGTGGTGGCCTTTTCACAGGAGGTGCCGTGTCTTGTCATTTGCTGAAGCCTGTGTTTCTCCACAAACATCCGCCTCTGTCTCGGCCAGCTCAGAAAGAGACTCCACAGCCATGTGTGTCAGCCTCTCGTGTGGTGCCAGAACCAGGGCTCTGAGGTCACTGGAGCCTTGTGGCGGGGCTAGTCCCCTGCACATCCCTCGGAAAGCCTGCTGGTCTCCAGAGCCAGCACAGCCGCCTCTTCATTTGCTTTTCCTCGCTCTTGCCTGTTCTGCCTCTCATGCTCAGGGAGCTTTCCCGGCCTTGCTCTGTTCCCTTCTCGTTTCCGCCCTCTCTCCCACAGCCGCCCCACCTCACTCCAGGGTGGAGCTGGGTTCAGTGTTATTATTAGTGATCTGGGGTCATGGAAGGAGGCTGATAGAAACATTTAATTTCTGTGCGTTGACAGGATATAGTAGCATCTGGTGTTATCTATATTTGCCCTTTGGTAGAAATTCTAGCACTTAGGTATGAATTCATTTGTGGTTTTTTTTTACAGACTTCTAAATTTTCCTTAAGATTAAAAAATATGTATTTTAGCATCTTTTAAGTAAATACAAAGAACCCTCAACTTGTAACGGTTCAGCTTAGTGGTTTTCTAACTTTACAACGATGTGCAGGTGATGGGTGTTTGGGAGAAACCATACTTCGAATTTGGAATCTTGACTCCGCATTCTGTAGAAAGCTCTTTCCGAGTCGTCCTTGTACTAGATGATTTGCCAGCGGTGGGCTAATATCAGTGGTCTTAGTGTGGAAGGCGGCTGGGCCAGGTGTGCTATTTTCAACCTGTGATGGGCTTACCTGGACGTGACCCCGTCATGAGCCCAGGAGCCTCTGTAGTGCAGAAAACTATTTTTCAAAAAGCACAGTTATCTTTTTTCTAAAAACGTGCAGGAAAGATAGGTGTCGTTTCCACACTGATATGAGTCAGGCAGAAAGAGGGAGAGGAGATGGGAGCACCGTTAGGTGAAGTCAGGTTTTAATGTGTGTCCACGTTTCTGGTTTGGCTGTGCAAAGCGTACCTCCAGGTCTTTCAGATAGCAGCCAATGGACACAGGCCGGCTGCCCTGCCTCGCCAGTATTGGCCCTCCCAGGTGGGGTGCCGCGCTAGCGAGGGCTGCATGGGGTCCCTGGGTTGCCACACTGGCTGTCCCGCCTGCCCTTGGCTGTCAAGTGTAAAATAACAGATTTTAACGATGCCTTTTTTCTCTCTCGACTACAGCATGATGCCATGTTAAAGGCCCTAAGTATTTTCAGAATAGAATTTAGTAGAATGATTCCCATAGGAGACTTGTCATCAGAACAGTAAATACAGTGATGTAAGCATTCTGGTGAAGTGCGAGCATCAGTAATATCTTGGATTAACCAACTGCTCTTATTAAATACCTTTAATGCCAGCGTCGCTGGTAACGTGTTACTTTCAGAGATCATTATAATGACCTGATGATAAAGTCGCTGCCTTAGCTAATTAACCATTGGTTAAAATGTTTCTGCCTTTTAATAATTCAGGCCAGGATACATGTGCTGTGACTCGTTGGACTTGTTGGTGATGAGTTTGAAATTGCAGACGGTGAGGCGGACGAGGTGGCCTCCATGTGGACTCGGGGGCGGGGGGTGAGCCGTGATTTACAAGCCTCTGTAACTCTGACCTCAGGGCCTCGGCTGCTCTGAGCTGCGCCTGTCTCAGGAGTTGTGCTCCGTGGCCATTTGTCATGGCCTGCTGCAGGGGTGAGGTCACGTCTGTGTCAGTCACTGCCCCTCAGGGCCCCATGTGGCATCCCTTGGGCCCCAGCCAGGTGGGCATGTCCAGACCCCTCCTGGGAAGCAGCCTGCACTGGGGGGCAGTGGACAGGCCGCCTGTCTCGGGGACCACATGGCTGTGCCATCGCACACCGACACCCTCAACATGGGAGAGCTGTGAGCAGAGCTGCCCGCCAGAACCCCTCCGTCGTGATCCCTGCTGGACATAAAGCCATCTTCTCTCTGCTGGCTGCTGTGTGCACGTTCTTTCTGCACGTCCTCCCATCTCCGCTCAATTCAGGAGAGGAGGTTCGCCTCCCTAGCACTGGGCTCAGCCTCTCGCCGCCATAGTGAGGTGCTGATGGCACTCACTTCCCGCATGCTGAGGTTTCGGGAGGCTGAGCTTCAGATGTGGCACGCGGGTCACCTGCTCGCTCACCCGCCCACTGCACACTTCCTGCCTCTGTTCCCGCTCCCATCCACATCACACGTGTCAGGCAGGGGCTGGTCTGTGCTTACCCCAGGTGTTCAGGAGTCACCGTCCCTACACTTGTTCCAAATTGAAGGCATGCCTAGAGTGAGTGAGCAGGCCTCTTAGTAAGCGTCCCTATGGCATGGCCACATCTCCAACCAAATTCCAGGACGGGAAAGACCAGGCCGCCTCCCAGAAAGCCCTGTCACTCGGGAGTCATGCTGTGGATCTCAATGATCTTGAGAATTTCAAGGGAATATTCTGGTTATTCACCGTAAAATCCAACAGTGTGCTAGGAATAAAGCCCCTGTTCATGTAAGACACAGAAGGAATGTAAACCCCAGCCCCTGCTTGTGAAACGACTGGGCTTGCTCCATGGATTTCCAGGAGTTTTTCACCTGAGGCTTTGTTTTAAGGATTGGTGAGTTTCAAACACCAGGGCTCGGGTAGGAAGCAAGTCCCCACCTCTAGCCACCACCCCACTGGACCCAGAGCCCTGGACTCTGTGGGAGAAGGCCTGATGTTGGGGATGGGGCCCAGGAAGGTCTGTGGCTGACTTTTGGCTGTTTGTCAGGTGGACGACATCCTTGGAGAAGGCAGCGATGACAGTGACAGCGAGAAGAGGAGGCCAGAGGAGCAGGAGGAGGAGCTCCAGCCCCGGAAGCCAGGGCCCCGTAGGGAGGGGACACTCAGGGCCTCTGCGTCCAGCGAGAGGAGCATGACAGGTGGCCGGGGGCCCAGGTGAGTGTGTGGTCTGAGGTGGGAGGGGCCTGATGTTGGCTCTTGGAGGTGACTCTGCCTTTGGTGGGCCGCCTGTGTCTTGTTCTTCATGCCCTCCCCTGTTCTATGTCTTGACAGCAGCAGCTTCGATTCAGCAGTGGTGGACACTTGGTTGCCTCCATGTTGAATCCATGTCATATTACATATACACATAGACGTGTCTGTGGTCTGCACATGTGCACACAGGTGTGTATGGGGTCTCCATGTATGCACACAGGCGTGTGTATGGTCTCCATGTATGCACACAGGCATGTTTGTAGTCTGTACGTGTGCACACAAGCGTGTGAGGTCTCCATGTGTGCACACAGGCGTGTGTATGGTCTCCATGTATGCACACAGGCATGTTTGTGGTCTGTACGTTTGCACACAGGCATGTGTGGGGTCTCCATGTGTGCACACAGGTGTGTATATCGTCTCCATGTGTGCGCACAGGCATGTTTGTGGTCTTTACGTGTGCACGCAGGCGTGTGTGGGGGTCTACATATGTGCACACAGGCGTGTGAGGTCTCCATGTGTGCGCACGTGCGGTCTGCACATGTGCACACAGTTGTGTGAGGTCTGCATGTGCGCTCACAGGTGAAATGGAGTAGGAGCAGTGCCAGCCTCAGAGAGGCTGCCCCAGCTTCAGCGGGCGAGTGGGGCGTGCCCACGGTGGTACTCCAGGTGCACGTGCACTGTCTTTGGGTAAAAAAAAAATGGTGGGACTGCTTTCTTTATCTGCGGAAGCACTTCTCCCCATCTGGTCTTACTCTCAGGCTATTCTGTGGGTGAATAAACATTTCAAGAAAAGAGTGTAACTCATTCAGGCAATCCAGTTGTAAAATTGGGCCAGAAATTGCAGCAACAAATGCAGACAGGACAGGATAATCATTGTTCCATTTGCAAGAATTACTTAAAATCACTTGGTTTGCAACTCTGGTTCAGCAGGGAAATGTGTGCAGTTTCTCTCAAGACAGCCACCCTGTGTTTATCGTGTAGGAAGCAGCATTTCCCAGCTGTGTTGAGATGACATGAAATTGTTTTGGGAGAAATTTTGAAATTCCATATTGGGCTTTGGTTTTTCCACATGAATTATGGGGTGGTTCTGCCTGGCCGTGCATTTCTTCACTTCTCAGTGTAGACCTATTGGGCCTGTCTTGAAGCTCTGGGGTCAGGTCTGGGAAGGGCAGCACGTTGGGGGCCTCTGAGACGGTTCTCCTGCCCTCCCCTGAAGACCCTCTAGGCCAGGGTTGGGCTGAGCAGGCTCCAAGGAGTCTGCTGTGGCCATGTTAGTATCTGCAGATTTGCAGCATGCTCTGCGTGTGAACATATGTGGTTTTAACATGATAGTTTTTTTCTAATTAAAAGAAGAAACCCAAAGTGTTTTCCTACTAAGACCAGTCAGGGTGTTGCTGGTTGACGTGGTGGTGTCCACGTTATCCAGTACACGTGCTGTTGCTGTGTCTCCCCATGTGGGCACCGTAAGGCACTCAGTGGGTCGGGGCCCAGACCTGTGGAAGACCTGGGGGCCAGGGCGGGAGTTAGCACCCCTGGGTCTTTTCTCTTTTATTGCTAAATGACCTGCCCACTGCAGAACTGGACTTCACTGGTGAAACAATGCAGGTGAGATGAGAGCTCCTCTGCTTGGTCGTGGCTTCAGTGCTGGTCTTCCAGCTGCAGGAGGCTGTCAGGGCTGGGCCTCTGCATTCTGGCTCCTCGGGCAGGGACTGGGATTGTCACTGTCATCACTGTTTCTCTTTATGTCTTATGGACTCAGTGGACTTCGAAGATTTTAGAATTTGATATCAGAAGAATAAAGCGTCCCAAGAGTCTGTTCTGATCCCGCCACACAGCCTTCATCCCTGCCACCGGGATGGGTGGGACTCTGGGCGCCTAATCCCTGCCTGTGCTGGACAGCCTTCGTGAATTGCCATAGCAGCCTGACTGCTGGGACGTGCATGCCCCTGGAAGGGGTGGGACAGTGGGGTCGGTTTGTATTCCTGTCAGCAGGGAGCCGGGTCTGCGCGGCGTCCTCTCAGCAGGGAGCGGGGTCCGCGCGGCTTCCTCTCAGCTGGGAGTGGGGTCTCTGCGGCTTCCTCTCAGCTGGGAGCGGGGTCCGCGCGGCTTCCTCTCAGCTGGGAGCGGGGTCCGCGCGGCGTCCTCTCAGC